GGACTAAGAGACCCATGGGGATCCACCGGTTCCAAACACCACCTAATTATGGGTTATTGAGATACTACATCTGGTAAATGTGGTTAAATAATCAACACTAGGCACAAATACACATGAATGTGCAAATCAATCAACGGTTAATAATCACCCGATGCAATTCATCGGTTGCAGCACATCATATAAGTCAAATTAACGAGACAAGTAGTGTTAAAAGAAGTTCAAATAACATTTGAAATTAAACAAACGAGGACATTTATCATTTCAGTTATTGTTTTTTCACTTGGCAAATAAATATTAAATATTAAAGCATATAATTGATAAATAAATTGGACTTTGTAAAGCTCGTGACCAATCAAATATCAAAATCAATATAACAAATTGGGACACTAGAAACAAATTTATTTTGTTAGCATCCTCAATTGGTGCCATCTTATCTTATCATCAATTCCACCACCAATATAATTGAATTGCCTAAAAATGGATAATTAAATAGATTAAATAGGACAAGAAAATAAAGTAATAATATAATAAACCATAAAAAGGTATTCAAAAAAGAGCCATCAATGATTAGTGTTGACAACTTACACTAATACAAACAAAAATAAAACATTATTATAAAATTGAACCATCCACCATTAACAAGTAACAACCAATATCCAATTCCCCACCGACACTGTAGTAATTACTATTATTATTTTTTTTTAAATCTCATTTATTCTATATAATATATATATAATAATCTTTAATATTAATATTGGAAAAAAAGATGGATATATATGGCAATTACATGATGGAGCAAGCTTGAGGGTTTTCTTCACTGAAGTAGTTATCAGATCTGTTGACTTGACCAACCCTACCATACCCGGACCCGTACCCGTACCCGGTCCCCGACCCGTATCCGTACCCATTGGCATTCCCATAATACCCTTCGTAACACGGCTGCGGCGGCGGCGGAAACCCGTAGCCATGGTAATACGGGCCGGAGCTATAACCATCGTAACTCGGCCCCACGTAAGGGAAAACCGACGGGACTCCGTTCACCGGAACCGGCTCGGGACCCTTCGCCGGCTCCGCCGACGGCTGCGGCTTCGCGGCGGCCGCTTCCGGTTTTTTAGCCGGCTCAGCGCCCTTCGGAGCCTCCTTAGGAGGTCCGTCGGACTTGGGCTTCTCTTTCGGCTTTTCGGGTTCTTTAGGCTTTTCGAATGTAACGACTTTCGGCTTTTCGGGCTCTTTGGGCTTTTCGATGACAACAATTTTCGGCTTTTCGGGCTCTTTGGGTTTATTTTCGGGTTCTTTGGGCTTTTTTTCGGGCTCTTTGGGCTTTGGAGGCGCTTTGATTTCAATGCTTTTGATTACTTTGCCACCTTTGCAACATAATTTGTCACGAATTTTTTCAGGGCTGCAGCACACCACAATTATTGTGACCGTATTGGCCTTCTCATCATACACTTGGTCTCTAATTTCTAAAATTAAAATTAAAAAAAAAAATAAAAAAATATAAATATTAAATAAATAAATAAAATAGCGGCTATATATAATATGAAGAAAATGACAAAAAATGAGGTGGTGGGCAATGGTTGAAAAATAAAATGTGTGATGAGTATGCATTGACATTTATATTCTACAAAGATTTAATTTCTTATCTCCCTATAGTCATGTAGCTAGACAAATTAAAACTATTTTGATGAGATCCATTAATTATTTTATTTTTATTTTTTTCAATTTTTTTTCCCTTCAATTTATGCATGGCTAATTTTCTTAATATTTGTGACAAAGCCCCTTAAATTACGTATAATGTGAAATTGGGGAGTAATAAATAATAAGGGAAATTACCCGAAAGCCCCTCAATTTATTTTTATAGTTTTAAGGGTACGCGAATTTTGCCCTGGGAAAATTAGTCCGAAGAACATATGATTTTTAGCAAATTACAAAAACTCGATTGTCATAATCTGAAAGAATATTAGTGTTCAGGGGTATTGGGCAAATTGTCCTTAAATAATAATAATTAAAAAAAAAATTGAGGGGGTTGTTTGGTTATAATGATTGATGATTTAGGGATTTGTTGGTCCGATTTAATTAATTATGGTATTAAATGTATGTGCCTTTGGGGAAAATCATGATAATCTTCGAGATCTATGTTGCTAAAACACTTGATTGTATTTAATGTTCAATTATCGATGTAATTAATGAGTATATTTTCGAGATGCATATCTATTAGTCTTCCTACTATTCGAATTTTGATGTCTTATTTTAATTTATTTTTATATTCTACTATTAATTAAAAAGAATGATTCGATAAAAAGAATAATACGTTGGTAATATATGAAATAGAGGAATCTATTTTAATGGTTTATTCCAAACCCACATGGCATTATTTAGGTTAAATTGATCACACTTTTGTGACGAGTTTAAAATGGACGTTTACTCGTTTTATTTAAGGCGGCGAATATATGCAAGCCCATTTTTTTTATTAGTTCAAGACCTCCAACATAAAAATACTAATTTACCCTTAATGAAATTCAAAACCAAATAAAAAACATA